AAGAGGCAACCAACCAAATGGGAGGAGATTTTTGCAAACAATGCCTCTGATAAAGGACTAATATCCAAAATACATAAGGAACTCATACAACTCAACAACAAAAAAACCCAACAATCCAATTAAAAAATGGGCAGAGGACCTGAATAGATATTTCTCTAAAGAGGACATACAGATGGCCAATAAACATATAAAAAGATGCTCAACATCACTAATCATCAGAGAAATGCAAGTAAAAACCACGATGAGATATCATCTCACACCAGTTAGAATGCCTATCATCAAAACAACAAAAATAATAACAAGTGTTGGAGAGGCTGTGGAGAAAAAAGAACCCTCATACACTGTTGGTGGAAATGCAGATTGGTGCAGCCACTATGGAAGGCAGTGTGGCGATACCTCAAAAAATTAAAAATAGAATTACCATATGATCCAGCAATCCCACTCCTGAGTATCTACCCAAAATGCCTGAAAACTTTTATTTATAAAGATATATGTGCTCCTATGTTCATTGCAGTTTTATTTATGGTGGCCAAGACATGGAAACATCTAGTGTCCTTTGATAGATGATTGGATAAAGAAGATGTGGTATATATACACAATGGAATACTTTTCTGCCATTAAAAAAAGATGAAATAATGTCATTTGCAACAACATGGATGGATCTTGCGATTATTATGCTAAGCAAAATCAGCCAGGCAGAAAAAGTAGAGAACCATATGATTTCACTGATATGTGGTATATAAAACTGAAAACAACAAAAGAACAAGACAAACAGATGAAGAAACAAAAACTCATAGACGCAGACAATAGTTTAGTGGTGATGAGAGGGTAAGGAGGGATGGGGGTGGTAGATGAGAGTAAAAGGGATCAAATATATTGTGATGGAAGGAGAATTGACTCTGGGTGGTGAGCACACAATGTGATATATAGATGATATATTACAGAATTGTACACTTGAACTCTCTGTAACTGTACTAGCAATTGTGACCCCAATAAACTTTAATTAACTAGGGCTCTAACAGAAAAAGTAGGCAACATGCAAGAACAGATGTACAATGCAAGTAGAGAAATGTAAATTCTAAGAAAGTATTAAGAAATTATAGAAATCCAAAACACTGTAACAGCAGTGAAGAATACCTTTCATGAAGAATACATTTGATGGGCTCATTAGTAGATGAGACATGAATGAGGAAGGAATCTCTGAATGTTAGGAATGAATAGAAACTTCCAAAACTAAAAAATACAAAAGGAGATTGAAAAGAAAAGAAAATAAATTTTCAAGAACTGTGGGACAACTACAAAAAGTATAATATGCACACAAGAGGGATATAAGAAGGAGAAGAAAAAGTAAAAGAGAAAAGAATAGAAAAGAATACTTGAAACAATAATGACTGAGAATTTCCTTAAATTAATGTAAATTAATGCCAGGTACCAAATCATAGATCCAGGAAGCTCAGAGAACACTGAGCAGAATAAATACTAAAAAACTAAGTTGAGACATATTATTAAAACTGCCAAAAATGAAAGCAGAAAGAAAAAGAAAAAATCTTGAGAGAAGCCAGACCCAAAATAACCAAAAAAAACACCAAAAAACAAAAAAACCCAGCTCACTTATAGAGCTTACAAGAAATGTTAAAACAAGTTCTTCACAGAGAAAGAAAATGATACAGGTCAGAAAATCAGATCTCCATTAAAAAAAAAAAGAAATTCAGAAGGAATACATGAGGGCAACATTAAAACTTTTATTTTTTGATTCTTAATTGATCTAAAGATAATATTTTGTTCAAAATATAGCAGCGGCAATGTAATCAATGATTATAGTTTATGTATAAGTGAAGTGAATGACAGTGATGATGCAAGAGGTTGGAGAGAGATACTAGGAATTCTTGGTTATTATAAGGTATTTGCATTACCCATAGAGCAGTAGAGTGTTATTTTTTTAAATACCTATTGAAAAGCAACTTCCCATTTTTCTCTCATTTCAGCCACAGGAAACTATCATTCTATTCTCTGCTTCTATGAATTGACTATGTCCTTAGATACTTCATTTAAGTAGAATTATGCAGTATTTGTCCTTCTGTGACTTACTTATTTAATTTATTATTTTCCAGGTTCATTCATGTTGTAGCATATGACATGATTTTATTCCTTTTTAAGAGTGAATAACATTCCTTGTTTTGTATATGTCACACTTTTCCTCCTGTAAAATTGAAACTCTTTATATTAAATGTGGGTTTCTTGTAAACAACATATCATTGGGTCTTGTTTTTTGAATCACTCTGACAATCTCTGTCTTTTAATTGATGTGTTTAGACTACTGATATTTAAAGTAATTATTCATATAATTGGATTATAATCTAACATATATATACTGTTTTCTATTTGTTACTCTGTTCTTTAATTTTTATCCATTTTACCATATGTGGTTTTATTTTCTATCAAGTAAAAATTTTTATTGTGGTAAAATACACATAAAATAACATTAACTATCTTAACTAATTTTATGTGTACAGTTCCATAATATTAAATATATTCATAATGTTGTGCAATCATCACCATCTTTTTCTCTTGCATGGGTTATCTTTTTCTATCCTTTCACTTTCAATTGATTTGACTGTATGGATCTAAAGTGATCTTTTATAGATAGCATGTGGTTGGGAAGATGTGTTTTTATCCATTCTGTCTACTCTTCCTGTTGATTGAAGAATTTAATCCATTTACATTTAAACTAATGACTTACTTTTGTCATTTTGTTATTTTTTGTATGCCTTATAGTTCTATTGTCCTTCATTTTCTTCACTACTTTTTTGTGTGTCTAGTTGATTTTTGTATTGAAATGTTTAAATTCCTTTCTCATTTCCTTTTAAAATATATATTCTATAGCTACTTTCTTTGTGGTTATCATGGGGGATTGCATTTAACTTCCTAAAATTATAACACTGTAATTTGTACATAACAACTTTACTTGAATAATGTACAAAAACTCTGTTTTTGTAGCTGCTTTGTACCTATTCCTTTTACTTGTTGATATGGTTCTTGGTTAATATAGTTTTGTTTTGTTTTGCTTTTTCATTTTAGCACTTTGAATATATCATCCCACTTCCCTCTGGCTTCCAAAGTTCTAATGAGAAATGTGCTTATAATTCCTCATATGTGATGAGTTTTTTCTCTTTAGCTACTCTCAAGGTTGTCTCTTTGTCTTTGTCTTTTGAAAGTTTGGCTATAAAGTGTCTAGATGTGGATCTCTTTGAGTTCATCATACTTAGAGTTTGTTGACCTTCACAGATATTTATAGTCATCTTTCATCACATTTGGGAAGTTTTCAGCCATCATTATTCCAAATATTTTATCTGCTCCTTTCTCTCTCTTACCCTTCTGCACCTCCCACAATGAATATATTGATACACTCAATGGAATCCCATAATCCTTTAAATTCTGTTCACTTTTTTCAATCTTTTTTTTTTTCTGTGCCCCAGACTCAATAATTTCCATTGTCCTGTCTTCAAGTTCACTGGTTGTTTTATTTTTTCCTGTTCAAATCTGCCTTTAAGCCCCGCAGTGATTTTTCATGTCAGTTGTGTTTTTCAAAAAGCTCCATAATTCCTTTTTGGTTTCTTTTTAGGTTCACAGGTCTTTATTTTTATTGTTACATTTAGTTCATACATTTTTTTCTTGATTTTCTTCACATCTTCCCATAGTTCTTTGAGCATCTTTAAGACAGCTGTTTTAAAGTCTTTAATTGTAGATCTGTCATCTGGTCTTTTTTCAGAACAATTTCTGTTTATTTATTTTGTTACTCAGAATGGGCCATATTTTCCTGTTTCTTTGTATGTTTTGAGATTTTTTAATTGAAAATTGGACACTTGAGTCTAAATGTGTCACTCAAAATCAGATTTCTGGCCTTCTCCAGCACTTGGTGGCTTTTTGTTTTTGTTTTCTTTATTGTTTTTGCTTTGTTTTATGGTTGCAGGTTGTCTGTGTGCAATGGATCACCTGAGGTATAAACTTCAGGTTTCCTCAGGCCTTTTGTGAGCCTGTGCCTTTTCCTGAACATGTGTTGTTGCTTTCTAACTTCCCCCATATAGACGCTTGCTTTTGAATGTTCTCATGTTTAATTTCTGGCTCCCAAAAGTGGAAAAAAGAAAAAAAAAGGGGTGAATGAGAGGATGTTGACACTTTCAATTGCTGGATGTCGCTTCAGGAAGAGGGGAGCGGCTTGAAAAAAATAGGACAAAAATACAGCAAAAATGTCCACTTGCTTCTTTGCCTTCCAGTCTCTGTGATTGGAAGCAGAAATCAGCAATGACAGCACAGAGTCTCAATATTTGAAGAACAGGGTTATTTTTACCTACCCTGGCTCCCAAAAGTTTTGTGAAAGCTGCTCCAGGCATAGTTGCACAGCTGTCTGCTGTGAGGCTGAGGGTGGGGGATGGGTACCTACTGTTGTAATATGAGCTGAAATTGACCAAAATTAATACAATTTACCATCCAAGTTTTCCTCTGGAAGCTAAAGGCCTTCAATAGACTCCAGGGTTCCAAAATGGTTACCTCAGGAAGATTCTGCCAGAGCAACTATTGTTTAAGTAGGGAGTCAGATTCCTGGTGCTTTCTGCTCTGCCAGCTTTCCA